CTATCAACTACCAGTCAGTGTTTGTACTCAACAGAAAAGGAAAAATGTGCTTTTAAGATGAGGACCATAGGAATGAGGATGCTTGAACTATAACATATGAAAGCAAAGGGGCAAGCAGGAGGAACCACTTGATCCAGGATACCTACTCAAACCTCCTACTGACAAATCTGAAAGACTGAGTAAAATCTCACCCTGCTTTCTGGCCCACACCATGAGACACTGTCAGGTTCAATATTCAAATGTATTTTCAGCTGAAGCTGTGGGTGTCCAGCTTTTGCCAGGCCACAGCTGCCAAGGTTCACACACATGATATTATTTCTTGGGTTTATAAACAGCTTCAATTCCTCTCATGCATGAGAAGCAGGGCTGTCCAGACAGGAATTCTCAAGACCCTTCTGGGACACAGAGACATCCAAGACGAGCAGCTCTCAGTAAGCTGAGCCCTGGAAAGATGCTAAAGCAACTCTTAACATCCTAACATGGGAGCCCAGAGCTTCTGAAGAAAGAAGACAAATATCTCGTGGGGGTATAGAGGACTTCTGAATTTTTTTACCATAGTATCTGGGGAAGGCAGGAGAAACTAAACATCCAGGAGTCTTTGTAAGGACAGACACACAGAATCATCATATAAATCTCACACTTTTGCTAAAATCCATAGCTATCACTTTTAACTAATACCTTCTCCTGGAGAAGCCTCACCTGAGGGCAGGACTGCTGCAGTGTGGAATGGGGACAGGAACTGCCCCAGGGGACATAAACAGGCAGTGTCACAACTGTGAGCAGGGTGAGGAAGCTAATCCCTGTCCAGAGCTCTGTTGTGGTTGATGCTGGAAAAGATATTGTTTCACACTACTAAAGCAAATTCAGACACTTACAGGAGAAATTATGAAAGAAAATGCATCAGATCCTGCTTCTCTCAGCAGAAACTGTGTGTGTGTGTGTGTGTGTGTGTGTGTGTGTGTGTACTTAGGAAGAATCTTCATCAGAAACAGACTTGGGTGTGGGCTCTGATCTGTGTGAAGAACATTCAGTGCTACCTTCAGGATGTTGCCCTAGCAATGATTTCATTCTGCAAGTGGATGTGTGAGGGGGGACTGCCAAAAGAAAGATCAGCTTTGGGAAGGCCCTGTGCACAATGCAACCATAGCCATGGGAGCTGTGTCTGCCAGCTTCAAGCCTCAAGATGTTAATTTTCATAGCTGAATCTTCAGCTGCTATAACCAGAGCAATTTTAATTGTCATCTACAATTTATGGAAGTGTAGGATAAGAACCCTTCTACAGAAAAGTGTATCCAGTCTATCTCTGGTAACCAGATGTTGTCAAGCAAGAGGGAATAGTGGGAACGTTAGAAGGACAAGGCACAGCAACTTGAACCTGTGATGCCTGAGATTATCTGTGCATCATTAACCATGGTGCAAACCAGGTGCCTTCTGTTGAGAAGCATTTAACAGGTAAACCTCAGCTCACCCACTCTTGAGAGCCATGGGAATTTTGCAGGGAAGAATAAAGGTGTCACTTTTTCTCTTCCATGTGTTTTTGTTTTGCTTTGTTTTGATTTTCTGTTTATGTTTGGTCAGAATATGTTTTTTCCTGGAAGAGCCCAAATAAATTTAATAATTTTTTCCCTGCTACCAAATCCAAATATTTTAAAGACTAAATTCTTGGCTTTATATCTGTAAGATAAATCTCATAAAATAAGGAAAAAGAACACATTGTGGTTCTTAACAAGCAGCCTGAGGCAGCCCTGAGCCTGGGTCATTATCAGTTACTATGGAGTGAAATACGTGTCCACAAAGGAGATGTGCCAAATAAAACTATCTTTGAGCATCTCTCTCCTCCTCCCCACCCACCAAAACCAAAAGCTTTGTGTTTGTGTACCATGACTGCCATCACATCAGATTAATCAATACCTGCCTATTAGTAGATGTGATGAAGAACTTGAATTTTTTGCTGTCTTTCTCTATTTGAGAAGTCTCTAGGTTTGCATTCACCCTATTATTTTTTATTTTAGATTGTCAGATCCACACACCACCCAGTCCTCCACTTGTTTTAGAAACCTCCAATACGGTTCTTCCTACATAAGCTCCTTTACTAATGTTCTACAAAGTGCAGAATAGTTTCTTTAATCATTGCCCTGGTTTAGGACATTTTGTCCTTTCTGAATAAGTGGTCTCACACTTCTGAGTCATAAGGACTAGAGACTGAAGATTCTGGCTCTGACTCCTCAATGTGCAACACTGAAAAGAGCCAAGGCATCCAGTTTTAAAGTCATTGCTGCAAAAATGACTCAGGCACTGAGGAATCTCAGCCTGGTTGAAGGGACTTAGGCTCCCATGGTCTCTGTCTTTTACATCTATGTTTAAAAAAAAAAAAAAAAAAAAGTATTTCAAGAAATTTTTCAAAACTTATGCCTAAAATTCCAGCTATGTTCAGTAATTTTTTCTTCACAAGCCCATCACCTGTGCAGTTTTTCCCTAATAAAAAACTGTTGATAAAACTCTTTAAGAACTTAACAGCTTGTAGTTTCAAACAGTACAAGGAGACGCAGAACCTGAGACCTGCCTTCTGAAATGCCTTTAAGGCCTGCCTGACCTTCCCATATTATCTCCTCTGCCTTTCTCCCTGGAACAATATTATATCTAACCCAGAGGGTCACCCCTCTTCTTTTCCAGTGGAACATCTTTTTCTGACCATAGTTTTTCCTATACGTGAAGAGTGACAAGTCTCCAGGGAGACCACAGGTCTTTGCACAGTGACCTGCCTGGTGCTACCACTCCATGGATGTTTCTGCAGAGTTAGAAAGATCTTTATTATTGTTGTGATTATGCCAGCAAAGACAAAGACTATGGATGATGAGGTGGGGCAGTGTCAGAGCTTTATCAGGACTCATCTGTTATGACTCTCATGACTTAACTAAAATATCTCATGAGCAGGGTGGCCATGTTATTATTCACAATATCCCCAAATAATTGCAATATTCCTTGCTTCTTCATACAGCACCCTTAATCAGACCAAACTAAGCCTTCTCTGCTCCCAAGAGTTCTTTAAATACTACAAAGGTTATTACAGATGCTCTTCCCACCCCCTCTCACTGATTCATGCTGTACACTTTTTTCATCCCTGTTTCCCCACTCCCTTGTATATGACAAACAGAAACCTGCTTTTCGTCAGCCTACCAATCCCTCATCACATCCCAGTTCAGGCAGGGAGAGGGTCCAGAGAAAGCCAGTTCATTACTGGGGAGAAATTATCCCCACTCAGTGGTTTCTAAGAACAGCTTTCCAAATTCCAACCCCATGGGTGTTTTCAGGAGGTGACAATGCCCCTGAATGCTGCAAGGAGCTTCACCTGCTCTCTTCAGTGGAGAGCCTGAGCTGGAACTGTTGAGACCCAGGAGACGTTTTAGGCCATTTTTTACACTGTTTTGAACTCCTTTTAGATACTCTTTAGACCAAACATGCTGCAAGCAATATCTAGAATGCACTCACCTGCCTATCCCCTCAGCAAGTGCTTGCATGCACTCACACATTCACACAGATTTTCATGCCACAACAGGTTTTATACAAAAATCTTTGCTACCAAGGGAACCCAGGACAGCCACTGCACAATTTACAAGGCTCACACAGATTTCCTCTAGTGACAGTGTTTGGGGGGTGGGGGGCACCTCCTCTGTTTGATTTTTTTTCCTTGCTGAACAAAAATCATCTGTGGTGAGAACCAACTTCCCGCAGGAGCACAAGAGGTGCCGTTTGTTTGCTGGCAGTTCTGTGGTGTGTTTTATTTTACAGAAGAGGCCCTGTTATCAGCATCCACGCGGGGCTTATCTCTGTGCCATCTGGGGTCACACAGGTGTGCCTGGTGTGCGCACCACGCGTGCTGCTTTCCTGGTTTAAAGTGTATCTCACAAAACCCGAGCCAGCCCCTGATGCCAGCAGCCCTGCCACGCGAAATCCCCTGTGCAGAGCAGCTGATGTCACCCCGCTCCGAGCACAGGGATGCTCAGACACAGCTTGCCCGTGTCTGGCTCCGGGAACACCCCACCTCAAGCTGGGTAGCCCAAATAGCATCCCACTCACTCCCAGGGTCCGCAGGGCTCGCTGAGCCCCCAGAGCAGCGGTCCCCAAGGCTTTGGGATGGGGGGACAGGGGATCGCTCATCCTCCCACGACAGGCGCTGCTCCTCCTGTCGGACCCTCGCCGCTTCCCACGGCTGCTCTCAATCCCGTCCTCTCTCCCGGGAATTCCACCCAAGCTGCGGGCACGCACCGGGACAAGCAAACCAAAACTCCGGCACCTTTGGGGAATAAGCGGCTTCCCCGGACCGGCTTTTCCAAAGGGGAGGGGGAGGAAAGCGGCTGCTGCTGCGTGGAGCAGCAGCTCCAGGACATCGGGAGGGAGATCAAACCCTCAAGCCTCGGGAGCGGCTCCACCTGCGGGAGCGCCCGGCGGCACCTCCGGGACCCGGCCCCGGTCCCGGTTCCGTCACGGCTTCGCCCCGCCCGGTACCGGCACCGCCGCGCCTCGGGAGCGCTTCCCCCTCCACACCGGGACCCTGAGAGCCCAGCAGTGGGGAATCTCCTCATCCTTCTTTTGCTCCATGGCAGAAATAGTAACAATACAAAGGAAACAAACAAACAAACAAAAAACAAAACAACAAAAAAACACCTACAGTTTTCTGTGCTGATCCACCTGGATGCTGA